TTCCACGTACTTTAGGGCCGTTTTTACAATTCCCTTTGCAATTTGTTACAAGGCATATCAATAAGGCATTGTTTCTATTTGAAATTAATTCAATATTTAAAAGAAAGTATTAAGAAATAATTTAAAAATGCCGACGTAAGAAATCTGATAGACAAAAAACAACAATATTTCGAAGATGATAATTATTAAGGAAAGAACTTGTAATAAATTAATAAACCCAAATAAAGTTAATATTTTTTGTATTAGAAACAACGAGTGGAAAATATATTCAAATCAGAATTCTAATTATGAATCACCACAAGCAAAATATGCATTTTTTTTTTACTGTATTCAATAAGTAAAAATCATAAATTGTAAAAGATTACAGAGAAAGGCTACCTACATTTTTCAACCGATTACAACAAAACTTCACTTTTTTTGGCAGGTAGTGTTTCTTATTGTCTTGCACATTTTTTTTTCTTTATTTTTACATTCAGAATGCTTTAAAAATTCCATTTACAAAACAATTGTTTATAATAAAATTCTATTCACCAATCGATAGACTCATAACGATTGTAAACAATGTTTTTGTTTGAATTTGGGTTTGACCAATCCTTAAAAAAAAAAAAAAAACTATTTAAGACATGCGTGTCCATCAACCTTAAACAATAATCTTTGTCAATTTTATTTTTCAGTCTTTATGATGGTCGATACTTGATCTATCGGGCTCTACTGCTAGTATATATATATATATATATATATATATATATATATATATATATATATATATATATATATGTGCAATGTTATCGCTCACTGCATTCTCGAATGTGATTTCATGAAGCGATAGCATATTTTTAGGGAGGAATGTCTTTGCACAGAAGCCATCTCACGTTCAGAATTTCGAATACATTTGTTCAAAAAGATGAACAAAAAAGATGGATGCAAATGAAGTCGATGGTATTATATCAAAGTTTTCCTTCTCCTTGGGGAATGCTTAAAGCGAAGGTCATCGATCTTTTTATGTCAGTTGTCTGACATCAATCTGGTTATTTCTACATCTCCGCGCGCGCACACACACACACACATATTAATGTAAAGAAAAACAGACCACTTTAAGTCTCCATTTGTAATAATTTATTTCACCAGCGAATTTTATTTTTCCCTGAATAGGAAGGAGAGGGGTGGTATAGCTTTAGTAATTTAGATAAACACAGATTTTAAAGTTTGATAGTAATTTAAATGTTGAAAAACTCCACAAAGAAATTAAATCTAATACTTGTTAGCAATTTAATTATTCAACTTCTCCACAAATAAATTAAGGATTAAGTCGAATACTATATTAATAAACAACGATAATAAAAAAATTTAAAAATATAAATTTACTAATAGTAATATTTTAATATTGTGAATAACTGTGAAGGTAAAATCTTTATCCGTTAGAGTCTAATTCCTGAATTTAATTTGTAGTTATTTTTAGATGGGTAATAATTCTTAATTAAAGTTTAGGTTTCAAATCAAGATGGAGTAAGTTTGGAAGGTAATAGTAAAAAGATTTAACAGTTTTTTCATACATATACAACAAACTTATTTACGTAAAAATACATACACATACATTCATATACATGTACATTTACATATATAACCACATACACATGTATCGATATACATCGGTATATATGCGCATATACGTAAACAAATACTTACATATACATATACATATTAATACTTTTAATATATATATAGATATATTTATTTAATTATATATATATATATATATATATATATATATATATATATATATATATATATATATATATGCATATATACATGTATTTACTAGGCAGATGTTGATTGGCATATGAGAAGGCTCTCCCGTCCTTTGACATGCCATATTTTTCATCTTGTTGGATGTCTCGTCACCCACCTCATCAAGATCGAGAGGAAGATCACCGATCAACTGAAAATTTATTTTTTTCATTTTTATTTTTTTTTTTTGGTGGGGTGGAGGAACCTTAACCCTGCAAATAATGGTAAATAAATGACCGTAAAAAGGATTGTCGAATATATATGTATGGAAGAAAATACGTTAGTGGAATTCATTGCTGACAATAGATATACCCCTAGTCTTTGACCAACTTGCTATATAGTAATATTCCTATGCTTGAACTCTTGTGTCTTTGTTATAACTCGTCCTCCAGCGCTTATAATATTATGTCTCGCTTAGGCTACTTGCCGTGACGTCACTAGAAATTCTCCTCGACTGAACCCAACGGACTGATATTAAATTTTGTAAAAATACAAAATATGAGGCGAAAAGTCAAAAGTGGGTTGGTCATCATCTGTCTTATCTTACACTTAGCAAGCCACAATCACTGACACAAACAAAACTAGCCAGTATTCCTTTCCAAAATACCACATTGTTATTACAACCACCATAATACGCCAAAGTCTCTATGAAGTCTTAACTAATCCCCATATGCACAATTTGTCTGGGTGATAGGATAACAATATTTAAAAATGCAAACCCCGTTGAATATCTACAATAATACTATATATACAAGAAACTAAACAAAATGGTGTTAATATATGTTATGGTCCGGTTCCTTGTATGACGGTGGTAGTCCAAGGTAGAACCAATAAAGAAGAACTCGAAGGCGGATATGGAATAACACAGATATATTACGACAGGAATATATACAGAGAAGTAGAAAGTGTTAGTGCGAACAATCAGGTTAAGTAGTAATTCTCTGAACGCGACTGTTTCGGACTGCCTCTGACTCGACTGATTGACTCGCTCGCTCTGACTGACTGACTGACAGACTTCTGACGGACTTCACTCCAGACATCAGACTGAGCTCCAGACTTCAGACGGAACGGTATTTAGTCCCCCCCCACGAGGCATCATGTGGCACAAGGCCGATTTAACGTGGGATCTCCGAGCCCGTGGACTCGGCAAAATGCCCTTTGAACCCGTATAAACGGGTTCAAAAATTTACCTCCCCGAAAGAGACTCCACCCTTCGGCGTAGCCTCGTTCGGGTTCCTCTCCGCCCGAAGGCAGAGAGTTCAACCAATCAGCCGGTCGTACGAATTCAGACGGAAATCTCTGCTTCCTCTTGAGGTGCAGTATTTATTACGTGTGGGATAGTCCATTATGTTATTATGGGTAAGGTCCCATAACCCCATAACAATAATAAAAAAAAAACATAATCCATAAAGCGAACAACCACATACACAACTACGCACTCATTCAGACACGGCAACAATTACGAAAGAACACATTAGCAAAACGAAAAGTGTTCTACATCCACCAGAGAACTAATATTTCTCGTCACATAACTAGAAAGAGGGTGGGTTAATTAAACTAAAGGCGGATAAAAACTAAAGGGACCAATTAGTATATATCCCCTAGCTAAGTTAGTTTAGCGTAAAAATAAAATTACAAATAAAAAAGCCTAAACTACCCTATTTTGGGCGGGGTTGCCAATGTTTAATACAAGACTCCCAATAACCTGATGTCCTAGCGGCATCAAAATCCTATTTTAAGTCCCCCTCTTCACTCGAGAGATAGATGCAAGACTCACTCACCTTTTGCCAAATTATGATAGAGGGCGTCGTCGCCTTTTTGTCCTGATCTTGATTTAAGCTGTTACTTTAAAATAAAAAAGATTAGTTGGGAACAGGTAAACTTTTCGTCTCCATAGAATTCCTTCTGTCACGTCATCCATATCACAACACTCATAACACCTAGCAAGCACTTGTGTTCAGCCTCAGTTAACGACGCTACCACTGCTACAAATAGAACTAGCCTCAAGGACAAAGAATTTTCAGCGTGTCAATAAATTTGCACAACGAGACTACGACCTTGCAGTGTAAAAGATGCGTGTAATAATTCATTAGAGGATAATACTTTTTATGCCTGGGGCTAAAATCATTCAGAAATATTTGAAATTTCAGCTGCATAAAACTGCTCTTTCAGATCAAAGATAAACAAATGGCTTTAAGCGAGTAAAGCCTGTTGATCTGAGTGAAACTACGCTCCATCCAACGGTGCCATTGTGCTCCATAAATGAGTTGTATTGTCCACTGCTCTAAACAAGAAGCTTTACTTTTGGAGCGTCGATTGTCATTACAAACCCCCTATATTTCTCAGTTCATAAAATATAATTACTCACTAGAGTGAGATTCGTGTGCCTATAATCGAAGCATTTACACCTCTTTTCGTGGTGATATTGACGAAGTGCTACGCAATTCTGAACGCAGTTATCCGAGAAAAATGTATTGGAAATTAATGGAAATAAATATAATTACGGCTGGTAAACGATTAAGTGTCACTGCGTTGTCTAATGCAATCATGAGTTCTTGCAATATTCTAATTGCAGCGAAACGCCAAAACCAGATGGTTTATTATGCTTCTCTCCGATTGGCCGGGGATAATTTGTGGCACTAAAATATTGACATCGATTGACCATTCACTCCCTCCAATTCCATCGGTCATACTTGATCACCGAAAGCCATTTTTAATCTCTTCTCTGGTTATTATCCATCGATCTATCATCGATAAATAGTGTATTTCAGATGAGTGTCGCTGTATATTGACCTTAATGTTTGAATAATTAATTTTGCATTGGGATCAGTTAATAAAAATAATATTACGAGCCATCGTTCCAATAACATGCAAATGCCCAACAGCCTGACATATGTCAATTAATGTGCACTTAGTAATTATAGCTACAATGTTGTGCCAAAAATATCATGAGTTCAAATTAAAGACAGGTAACACATGGGATCGAACACACTACAGTAGGAATGGTGTGCGAGATTAAATTTTCTGATTGCTGAGACAAGGTGCCCTGGTATTATATATATATACATAGACGCTCTGCTTTAGAGTATTGCAAAATAGTCTTGGAAAGCATGGCTGTAGCACTAAATTTGATCTTCAGAGGTCCAGACATTGCCATTTAATTCTTGTGTATTTAAATTGTACTCATTTTTGAAGAATATGGCATTCGTTTTTTAACATGTAGGTATGAGAAGAAGAAGAAGAAGAAGAAGAAGAAGAAGAATGAGGAGGAGGAGGAAGAAGGAGAAGAAGAAGTAGGAGGAGGAGAAGGAGAAGAAGAAAAATGACGGGGAGGAGGAAGAGAAGAAGAATGAGGAGGAATAAGAAGAAGAAGAAGAAGAAGAACGAGGAGGAGGAAAAGAAGTAGTAGTAGGAGGAGGAAGAAGAAGAAGAAGGAGGAGTAGGAGTATAAGAAGGGCGACAAGAAGAAGAAGAAGAAGAGGACGAGGAGGAGATGAAACAATACGCGCTAAAAACAGTGATATTTGTAGCGATTTTGTGAGGGTTTTAACCTTATAGAGCAACCCAATCTGAAATCATCTTTACCAAAGAGCACAAAACATATCATTTGAGGACTTGCAAAAGCAAAACTAAATAGGATATCATATAAAATTCGAATAGAAAATAATGACATAATCAAGATATTGATGTTACACGTTACTCAAAACAAAAGGTTAGGAAGGAAATTCCTATCAGTACTGGAAAGAGCAATAACAGTTACTGGACTTGGGAAGCCTATTTTTCTGAAAAATTGTTTCAATGCAAAGATTTTATAAATTTCAACCGAAAATGGCACTGGTTGTTCGGTCAATGAATAACGAAACTGCTAATATAACCATTATCAGTGGAGACGAGCGCAAATTAGCAAATGATTCAGCAGTTATGCACTCAATTATAAACTGACTCCAGTAACAACAACATTAAAATGAAATATGAAAATTTAATCGGCAGGGACTCGTCCTTTTACTGGAAGTCTCTACCGAAGTGGATAATCAACATGATGGAGTACCTGGAGAGAGCCAAGTGTTACGTACATCTTATCAAAGATATATATATATATATATATATATATATATATATATATATATATATATATAAAGATATCTGTGTATATTTCTGAGATGAGGTATTATTCAGACTATTGTCCTCATCTTTTCGCCATAATTATTATAACGTTTCGGCTGTTTACGCTGCGACCTTCTTCAGATGGTTGGAATGTCGTACTGAACCCATTATTTCGCCCACAGGGGTAGACTGTTCTAGTCCCACGTGCCATGTTTTAATGGATGTCAGTTATCTCCTGTTAATTTTCCCTCTGAAAGTTCTCCACTGCCTTAACCGGGTATTGAACTCACACTCTTTGGGTCCTCTCACTGGATCTAACTAACGCCTTTATACACTGTCCTTGAGGACATCTGTCTATGAATTTCTGGGTATTATAAACCTAATGTCTTCAGCAATCTTTTTTTACTAGTGCTCATATTGCAAATTTTACTGTTATCATTCATGTTTTACCTGGGCTCATATTGCCAGTGAGCGAAATAAAGGGTTCAGTTCGACATTCCAGCCACCTGAAGAATGCTGGAGCGTACAACGGCCGAAACGTTGTAATAAATATGGCGAAAAAGATGAGGACAATAGTCCGAATAATGTAAATAATGTACATAATACCTCATCCCAGAAATATAGACTGATATAAATTTCTATATACATAAGTAAATCAATAAGTCGGCAACCTAATATTTCAATTCTCCCTTGTCGATGAACAGTATTCAGTGGTGAATATTAATGATATGGATAAAACATTATACACTGAAAATTTCAGATCAAAAATTATGAACAGAGAAAGCTATGAAATATGAAGCTAGGGTTATACCGATATTAATTTGCACATGAATATTTTGAGGATCTCCAGACCATGATACGGATGATATTTGCGAGAATATACTAAGAAAAGTGTTTGAGATGTGAGGAGATTGCAGCAATTAATAAAAATCAGTTTAGAAGATCTACCTATATAAATGCATGATATGATAATATTACTTATTTTTATTTGTTTGCAATGACGTCCCTGTTCTTTAATATAAAACTGCATAAAGAGTATGCCTCTAATCCAGACGAGCAATAACATGGCCAGAGGGAAATTGAATAAGGTTATGCTGACGAGGTATACAATTACAGAAAAATTAGACAATACGTATTCGGAAAATGTGACAAAGGAATTTCTAAGCAGAGAATCAGTGCTTAAGATATAGTGACTGGCCAAACTTTCTCCTTGAAGTAAAGACAAATAAAAATAGAAATCTTTTGCAATTGATATTTGCATTTGTTATGGTCCAGGTTAGGATCAAGGAAGAACAACACGAACACAAGAGTAGAAATAGCGAAGGTATATTACACGAAATAATAATACAAGATGTGGAAGGTGTTAGTATGACTGTCAGTCTGGTTTGGAGTGAACTACTATCGGCTCGACTCGATTCAATATTTACTTGCGCCCCCCCCCCATCCCGGAGGGAAAGATTTGGCACAAGGCCGAGTTTTACGTGGGTTTCCCGAGCCCGTAGGCTCGGCCAAAAAAATACCCGTAGAACCCGTATAAACGGGATCGGGTTGGTCAACCACCCAGAACGAGACTCTGCCCTTCGGCGGAGCCTCGTTCGGGTTCCTTTCTGCTCAGAGCCAATGAGTTCGACCGTCAAGCCGAGAAGCTTGATTCGTCCCTCTCTCTTGGAAGGCGTAGTATACATAGTGTTAGGAAGAGTTCATCCTATAGTTATATGTAAGGACCCATGAGAGTATTCATGTTGGTTCAATTAAATTTAAACAAAGTCAAACCATGATCAGATGTACTTTGATCCCGTTTCTTACGTTCCTCAATTCTGGAAATAATTGAGTGACACTAAGTAGCAAATTATAAAAAAAAGTATTTGAGCCGATAACAGAGTGCAGATAATTCTTCTTTAAATTCTGTTAGAATAATCAAGAATGTCTACCGTAGCACAATGGACAGCACAACTCATGGACCATTTGCGAGATCTTATAAATGTTGATGCAAACCGAATCTTCGTTTGGTGTGACAGTAGGTCTGTCTAAGGAAGCAATTTTATTAAAGTGTAGGCGTATTTCATCGAAATGTAGATCTATTTTATTGAAGTGTATAGTTTTTTGAATAATACAAAGAATATCGAGAAATATGATTTATTTATGTCAATACTCATCATTTCCATGAATTAAAAAAACGTTTGCTTCCAGTGAAAATAAAATGTCGGGGAAGAGTTAATTTTAACGGCATTCATTTAATTACCTGCCGTTTCATTAGCGTAAACACGGTACCTTCATATAAAAAACAATGAACTTATTGAAAACATTCATCATTGTTATGATAAATCCCATTCGGCCTTGTGCTACATCTGACCGTGCGGTACGTTTGGTAGATATGCTGCAGTTGGAGATTCATTGAGGAATTCACTTGACTCCCTTGTAGCAGTTGACTACTTCTACGCGCCGCTGGCAAATCTTATATGTGTTGTTCTTGTCCTAAGTATTATCGTTCATTACCAACCTTCCTGTGATTATTCTGTTCAGTAACCGTCGCTGGTTTACAACACTAACCTAATTATCCCCAATAACTCGTAACTTTAAATATTTCCCTATGTTAAAAAATGTTCATTATGAATTCTTATGCCATTGGGAGATTGCATCATCAATACAAAGGATTCAAAAATATCTTACATTGTTCATACATTCATCACACACTCTCTTATCTTGACCTGTAATTTTCGACTTTTAGTGCAATTCGTGCACATAGCGTTCATCACATGAAAAAATTATTTAATATTATATTTTTACAACAAAATATAGGTAGATAATACCAACATAGTATATAGTTCCTCACTACGAGAAAAACATAAAATTCTAGAAACACTTATTATACGAAAGAAACAAACCTCCTTAAATATATTTCGCAACAGGCCGCTGTCTTTCAAAATGTTTTTTAAAATATTTATTAGGTTTGTAAGTTAATCTCTTTTGTTTTGTTTTACGGCATATCAACCTCAATAAATCATTTAATGTCGACATTTTTTTTTCCTGGCAATATTTTTGTTTTGTCAAAAATTTATTTCTGTTAATATGACACGTGGAAACCAGTCTACCCCAGTGAGCGAATTAAAGGGTTCAGTTCGACATTCCAACCACCTGAAGAAGGCTGGAGCGTACACGGCCGAAACGTTATAACAAATTTGGCGACAAAGAGGAGGACAATAGTCCGAATAATGTAAATAATGTAATATTTTTTCCTCAAAAATGTATAGCCGGTAATATTTAAAAAAAAAATATTTCTTGTAATATTTTATTTTCAAAAATATATTGTTGGTAATAGTTTTTTTTCTTCAAAAATTTATTTCTGCTAATAATTTTTTACAATATATTTCTGGTATTAAAACCTATTTTTACACTTTTATAATACTTTCTACCTCAGTTTCGGTGTTAACTATTTGCCCGGAGCTGGGATCCTAACAGGTGCTACCAACCCGGGTCAGGGTGGACCTGCGAACACTATCAATTAAGAGGCGGTTCCACGCTCCTCAAAACCTGATCAGAGGCCTTGCTGCTGGACGTACTTTATCGTCTTACCTTGGTCGCGGATATAGTTCATCGTCGTACCCAGGACGGGATTTATAAGGTAATAATAATAATAATAATAATAATAATAATAATAATACCATTAGCGAAGAGAACGATTTAAGAAAAGAAAAAGAAAAGACAACGTTTCACAATAATTCGATAGTATGTCTGTCTTCTTCATGTGATGATTAAAAATTGTATACAATTATAATATAAAAAATCTACAAAAATATGTCTTAGTACGGACGTGACTTCTCTTGAGAAAAACGGCTGTACTGATAATCAACGCGTCAAAAGGGAATGAAATACCGCCAGCGTGAATGGCATGCAACTGAAACATGATGGTGATCGTGCACATCACGTAATTTTCCGTTAGTTGATTAGTTACTAAGATGAATTAATCAAACTGCTTAATATAAAACCTATAGAACACTCTTGTCATTGTTTGTAGTTTGTGTAGGTAACTATCTTCCACAGTTTTAATAGTCACAAGGTCGGTATGCTCTGAATATTTTTTTCAGAATAAGCTCTTTAAGATGTTCGTCGAAATTACAATCGTTTGTCATAAAATGTTCCGCAATCTCTGTTGTCACATTGTTGTGTCTGACATGATACCTGTGGCCATTGAATCTTTTATTTAATTTTACCGTTGTGCAACTCGGATAAATCAAGTCATGTTTGGAACATTGGGCAGCGTATATTAAACGGAAATCCGTACAATTGTCACATTCTGAAGAAATCGTGAGGCTTCTCTTCGTGATTTGTGATAGAATTGACAAGATTAAATGAACTCTCACAGGTTTGTTCGTCTAAATCCGTTTTCACTCACTTATATGATTG